CGTTTTTCCGTGGAATTAGTTGGCCTTTAATCCGTTGCATGGTAGTATTCTATTCAAGTTTTACTAATTTCTCTTTGGAATAGTGGTTACAAAGATCTTTTCTTTTTTTTTTTTTAATAGTTTTTCAACAAAGCCTAAACTGAATGTTGCCTTTCAAAATTAAAAAGAATGATAATATTTATAATTAATTTGAGTTGGCAGGTTGACATTTTGGCCGTTACAGGTCTGACGTGTGTATTTGTATGCAGGATCCGCCACCTCTGGAAGCTCCTCTTAAATTGATAGGAAAAGACCCAATACATAAAGAAGTGAAATGGGAAGATGATGGAGTGCTTGTTCGCTCAATAGATTTGGACATCTTCTGAATGTTTCTTCACATGCTTCCGTAACTCACAGTTCAGACATTCCGATTTCCAATAAAGTTCACTGGGTTCCATTGCTGTCTGTCAAACATTGGAATGTAACGTAATGTAATGTAACGCCTGTCTGATAATAACTAGCCATGTTGTCGTTATAGCTGATGCCAACATTTGATGTGGCAGCGGAAAACGGCGAACAAATATTAAGACTAATTATGTAGGGTGACTATGATATATGATGCATGTATCACTTGTAAATACAACATTAAATTACAGGGCAGGATTTGTGGTTTGACGACCCTGCTTCCAGCCTATTCGGCATACATACACTAGGCTGTATTTCTGCGTCAAATTTTCCTATTTCTTTCATGAGCCTCCTATTGTTAGTCCTTCTTCTCAAGTCACGAAAGAATACAGCATCAACAGTAGATCTCATACTCAAGCTTAAAATTTGTTGAGGCTGTTCAGAAGTGAAGGGTAAGGCTGTGTTATCCTCGTTATCTCAAGTCACTTGCTTATTGTCGAGATTCTGCAATCTCATGCTTGTGATGGGGTTGAGTAATATGGTCTACTATGTGTGTTATGATCGTATTGGCTTGTTAAATTTCTCAAGTTAGACATTGTAGATTCGAAATTTGTGCCATACCAAGTAAGGAGAATTTGTCAGCTACTGAATTTTTCTAATTAATTTTCATTGCATTAATTCCTATAAATGACACCACATGGTGCAAATGATTCGGCAACTATGAGAAGTACCTGCTTTCTTGCGAGAAGTATCTCTTCCATTATAACAACTAAAGTGTCATTGCGAGTAACAAGTTCCCAACAGAGCTTTAAAATAAAAGGTTTGTCTTTTTTTCATGACATTCTTAATCCCAACACCGCCACTATTCTGGCTACGAGTTATTTCCTCCCATGCAATAAGAAGTGGTGGGAGCTTCTCTTCATTTTTCAAGCTCTTTCAAGATGGAAAAGGGGAGCAATAAAGATTGATCTTTCTTTTTGGTACAAGAAACTAAATAGATTGGGGATTATATCCAAACTCTCTCTCTTGACAAGCTACTCAAGGCTGTGTCTTTTTTTTTTTTGGCTATAAAAAAGGGCCAGAGCCCAAATAAGAAAAGACTAAATAATAAGACAATAACCTAACTTGTTTCCATGTAGTTTATTTTGTTCTCTAACATATTCACAAGGTTTTTTTGCATTTGATTCTAAAGTTACCTTTTTAAAACCAAGGTCCCAAGCTAATTAGAGACCCCTAAGGATGCCATGCCCCATTCCTCAGCTTCAAAGGCACTACAGCAACCCAGAAAATAAGTAAATCCAGCAATCCACTCACCATCATGACCAAGAACAACTCTGCCACATCCTGCCTTGTTGTTTGAAGCACTCATAGCTCCATCCACATTTAACTTGACCCATCCCATAGGACGTAATGACCAAACAGTATTCTTGTTAAGAGGAAAATGTGCAGGCATCTCAATATCTTGAATTTGAGCAAACTTGTCCCATGTTTGCAAGATGGCCGAAACTGGATCTGGAGGTTTGAAGTCCTCTTGGAAAATGCCGTGGTTCCTCCATTTCCATAACTTCCAAACAGTGACACCCCATATTAAATTCCAATTTCCATGACTGTTATACCCCATATCTTTCTGCAAATTTGGAGCAAACCAGTCCCCATGATGAGAGCACGCCCAGGACAGATTTCACGTTTTATCAATAAGCCCAGAGAGGAGGCATTTGGAAGCCTGATGATGAATGAGGGGCTCAAATCCAAGAAAAGCGTTGAGCTCGAGCCTACGATTGACAAGGGCAAAGAGGCATTACGTGAGTTCGCAACGCAATCCATAATGATCGGAATACAAATTAAGTCATCTGCAAATAAATAAATAAATAGGAGAGGGGGGGTCCTGGGAGGAGGTCACAATTGATTCCTATAATTTTTGGGCCATGATCATCTAATAGTAAAAAAAAAAGATTAGAGATAACACTATGGCTCTCTCTGATCTTAGTAAAAGCATGAAAATATTGCGAGAGTTAGGCCCTTAAACCATGACTTTCCTTCCCAAGTGTCCCGGGCCAGTTTAAGGAAGGATCGTTTAAGAAGCCATGCTGCCTCACATTTAAATTTTCTGGCCCTATGTGCAGATTGCGATAAGCCCAATTTATGCTTAATAAAATAGCCATTTTTTGAATAGAATTGGCATTCTTTCACAGTTATCGGAGGAAGACAAAGGAACAAAGCCCACAGTTCATCTCCAGTGATATGAAAATACCAACAAACAATTCAACCAAGAAAATGATATAAAAATACACATGAAATTTTCAATGATTATGTCATTTGTATACTATTTTGAAACTTCATGCGGATTTTTACACCACTTTCTTGACCTACAAATTTGGTAAACAGTCAACATTAGCTAACTTAACAAGTAACAATTATGACATTTTTACACTATTTTAAAAATTAGATTAATATAATTTTTTGTCCTTCGAGTTTATTTTTATTTTGTTTTGGTATCTTAAATTTCAAACCATAGTTTTTAATCCATTAAATTCCTTTCCACTTAAAATTTTGGTCCCTATGATTCAAGAAAAAGTTGGACTATTTTGCCTTTTAAGAGATTAAAACCTATGGTTTAAAACTTGAGGGACTAAAACCAAAATAAAAGCAACTTTGAAGAATTAAAAATCATATTAACCCTTAAAATTTTCATATATACCTTTGTACTCAAGAAAAGTTTATGATGTTAGATGTCCATGACGAGATATTTCATAAGTAGATTTGCACTTTAACTTTAAATTAAATAAAGAATGTGATTTATATCATCCAAATAATTTAACCCTCGAATATATAAGATTTAGTTTAATATGTTTTAATTTAAATAATATTTATTAATTAAATCAGTATTTAATCTAATTATTTAATATTGTGAACATATGATAAAAATTTAATTTAAATGGGTTTAAATCCATATGATATATATTATTTCATTAGTTGAGATTAGAGCCGGCAATATGAGTTGAGCCCCCACCAACCCGCCAAGCTCAAACCTGCAGCGGGCTAACCCGCAGGGTTGACGGGCCAACCCGTTTAACCATTTTTTTTTGTGTGCAGATTTTTCCCTTTGCCTCTCAGTCTCTACACTCTTGGCCTAGTCCACAGTGCAACAGTGAGTAGTCCATGTCCAACAGTCTAACACGACAACACCAACACGGTCCCATTTTCACATTTTGCTTGCATGTCGCACTCCTCCCATACTCCCAACTCTCCCAGACCCAGTCTCCCAGTCGCCCTCGGCCAGTCCTAACTCCCAAGCCCCAAGCCCTAAGCCCCCTGCTCTCTATCTTTGCTTTGCGCCTTTGCCCTAGCTCATGAGTGATGATTGAGCACTTGATAGTGATTTGTGTAGTGACATTGTGTTTGTGACTTTGTGGTAGTGTTAATTTGGATTTATGTTTTAATTTGAAATGTTTGTTAAATTATTAAGGACATATCATGTTCATTTTATCATATGTTTAATATTTTGATATATTTGAAACTTGGAACTTTGGATGGATTCCATATTTTATTTATGATAATTTCTATTTGCATGTTTTATTTTAGGTATTTAGGAATTTGGGACTTTGAGTAGGTTTTATTAAAAAAAAAGTAAAAAAAAAATTGACTAGTTGGCAGGTTAGCCTCACGGGCCGGGTTGAAAAAATTCCAGCCTGTCAGAAAGCAGTATTAAAAAGCCCAGCTCGCCAAGCTTCAGGCCCGCCACGAGCCAACCCATAATCGGCGGGTTGGCCCATATTATCAGCTCTGGTTGAGATAATAGAAAGATTGTATTGGTGAATATTTTAGAATATTTTACCTTTATAACATATTCTCAACCTTGAGTCTCTATCATTAATCATATTGTTAACTATTTTTGAGTTCCCATAATGCTTGCCGTCTAAACTCTAATAACGTGTTTGGTTGGCTGGCAAAAAAAAAAAAAGTGTTTGGTTCAAGTCCATGGATTAGTACAGTATTATATAATATTGGGAGAATTACAATTAAGTCCTGCAGAAAAGAAATAATTATCAAAAGGTCCCAATAATAACCTCAACAGCTTATAATAACAAGTCATATAGTGAGAATAATAACTTCTGGAATTTGTTTTTCAATTGTTTTTCTTGTTTGGGGTCTCATTATAATTCTCCCAATAATATTTTGCTTAAAGTATGAGTATTGGACCTGGATCTGAACCCAATAATTTTCTCTCCTTCCCTCCTTTATTTTCCAACAAAAACAAATAAGTAGAATTGTGAACCCCACTTTTTTTTTTTTTTTGGAAAATTACAAACACATTTTATTACATGAAAATGTTAACAACATCCCATGTCTTTCTTTTTTCTTGCCAACCTAATCCTTCTTAGATAAAAAAAATCAATAAGAACAGAAATATAAAGCTTAGGGAATGGAAAATAAATAAAATATCATTTTTATAAAAAGAGTTACTAGAAAAATATTGAAACAACATATTCACATTCTTTTCCAATATGCCATTGAAATCAAATCAGAGTGACCCGGTAGACTATTGAGCAAATTTCTCTCATAAAAGACAATATTGATATGATCCAAAGCAATACGAGTCTCACACAAATGATGTAAAAAAGATGAGGATCAGCAACGTTAAAAAGGATCCCATGAATCGAAAGGGCATCCATCCATTTCAAATTTAAAACGGGGGCAGCTTTCGGGATCTCCAATGCACAAACAGCGAAGTTGTGTGAAATGCAAAAAGTGTCCCAAAACTTCCCAATCGTTCGTGTTTTCACCCGCCTTCTCCTACCACAGCTACCTCAGATAACATTCCCACGATGGATATGGAGTTAGCTCTTCCAAACCCTAATTACATGGTCCCACCTCCCCCACCAGCAGCAGATCTTCCTCCCCCACCTCCGCCATCCAATAATGGATTCATCTTCCCCTTCCCCAAAAGACCGACCCTTAGAGTGACCACTGAGTTCGACAGTGAAAGCACTGTCTTCTTCAACAAGATCTCCTGCAAGTTCTTCGATAGCCTTGCCAAGTTGAAGTTTTCCTTCAACAACGGCAGCAAAGGTGATGTCTCCGAACCCCAGCTCAGTTTCGTTTCTAAGCACTTGAGTATCCATTATGACCTTGAAGACCAGAATGCTCTCGTCAAGAGTTCCTTTGACATTGGTCCCAAATTGCACCTCACTGCTGCTCATGATGTCAAGGTACCAGCATCGTGATATTTCTCCGAATATGAAAATTGTAGTTCTTCTCATCTTAGTCGTCCCGGGCTTCAAAGATTTTCTTTCGATACCATGTCTCTCTGTCTATTACTACTATGAAATGTTGTTCCTAGCATTTTTTTTCCTCGGAGAGTACTACTTGCCGATGCTATCAGTACTATCTGCCACGTTGCAATTAAGGGCTAACGAATTGAAGACATGGAGTGCCTCCTGATTTTTTGTGTCTGAGCATTTATCTGCCACGTTGCTTTTAAGGGCTAAGGAATTGAAGACATGGAACGCCTCCTGATTTTTTGTGTCTGCGCATTTCTATTGCCTGGCCTCTGTGTCTCTTTGTGTGTGTGAATTCATTGTGATCTTCGTGCGTGTGTCACTGTATTAATTTGAAGAGTGCGTATTGCATTTTGAAGGTATTGATGATAGCCCTTATACGATACGCTTCATGGTTGAAGACTGACAAACCTACCTTTTTAATCGTTTGTTAAGAAATTTCAATTACCTGTTTTAACCACATGTGTTTTCTCATTTTTTAATAAATTTTTTTATCCTTTTCAAGGCTCAACAAGGAGAGGTTACAATGGTTGCAGATTTGGCTGATCCTGGCTATGCACTCGAATTGTCAACTGCTGTTCCGACTGTTGGATTGGTGCGTTTAATCATGTTGATATCTCTTTATAAAGCTATGGCTGTCGGTTTTGGGCCTTTGTATTTCTATCATTATGAGTAATGAAGCAGCCAGCTAAGAAACTTTTTTGCTGGTTCAGCTTTATATCTGATGTTAGTCTCTGTTTTGGGCTTGTCAAGAACCGCTTCCTTAGAAGCTTCACTATTAAGTGAAAGGCCCATAACTTTCTATAACCTGCACCATCACATTAAGGCTCCTTGTCTTGAAGTGTGGAGTGTTTAAAAACAACAAAAGCACGTGTCCACCAAACCTGTACTGAGACTTAACTATAATTGAGAGACGGAGGTGGCAAGGATTGAACTTTTGAGCACATAGTCTTGTGACCTCGATACTATGTCAAGGACCACTTCATCCTAAAAGTTTAAGCTATCAACTAAATCCTGACATTGGTTTTGATATCTCTAGTTGGTTTCATTTTCATTTATTCTTTTTTTTCACTTCTTCCCATTGGAAAGCTTTCAGGGTCAGCAGTGGCAGTGATGCAATTGCCTGATTCAGTATTTATGTCCTTTCACATGTTATTTGCCGCAAAACTTAATAAATACCTTCATTTTTCTGAACATTGATAGGAGACAATACTGATTTACCTTGCTATAGTGTATAATTTGACGTGTCATTCTGCAGCCAAAAGCAACCTTTAGATGTCCTATTGGTGAAGTTTCACTTCAGGAGGAAGAAGACGAGGAATTCAAGAGATTGCTGTCTGTGAGTGGAATTGTTAAAGGACAATTTTTCAATGGAATCGGCACTGCCCAATACAGGGATGATGAAATGAAATTAAGATACTCCTTGAAGGTGCCTTTTCTGTAGATACTCATTACAGTCTTTCCTGTCCTTCCAATTTCTCCTTTCAACCTTCTATTGTATTTCTTGTATAGTTATATGATTTCCTATTTTATCATCTTAGATGCCTGCTTGCTGATCCATTATTTGTAGATGTTTATTTGATGTTCCATTGAATTGATGTCAAAATTTTCAAATAAATGCAGGATAAACAAATGTCATTTATTCCAAGCTTGTCTCTGCCTTCAAATGCTCTGTCATTTGCTTTTAAGCGCCGGTTTGGTCCTTCAAACAAGTTAAGGTTAGAACAGCCTCTTTGCAACCCATCATTCTTATTGGTATTTGTTGGTGAATGGTGATAAACCTTAAAAGAAGTCACATCTAAAAGTGAAAAGAAAACAAAGGGCATAGTAGGCTGCGGCTGCCCTAAACAAGTAGCTTCGCTATTTTGATGAAATGGATAAGTCCGGGCACAAGTTGCCTCTTGTCCAGAAGTGAGAACCTAAATATATATGGTAAAGTATTTTGGAGTCAAATTTTTTTACCATTTACTGGTCAGCATGTTGTTTGATGCCATGCAAGTCCTTATAATCTGGTCTGACAGTAACTTTTACAGATCATGCGAACTCAATTCTATCCTTGAAGTAAAATATTTAGATGTTGGAAGGTCCGATAAATTATAATTTTTGTTATTGGGTATGCTTACATCTTACATGGAGACCTTCGCATGTGGAACAACTTCAATGGCATAGTGTAAAAGGGAATGCCTTGCTTCCACCGTGTACAGTCTAATTGTGAGCTTAACTAGTCTGAATGGAAAGGGAGACAATTTAAAACACAAAAGTGTTTTTAAAGATTAGCTATAGTCAACTGATGATTAAATCAACTGATGGTCGTCCAGCTATAGTTATAGCTCCTTCTATGCTTTTGAAGATTCTATGGTTAACCTTGCTGAAAATACTCTGATATGATAGAAAGTTGACCTCGTTTATGTTTGCCAAAAATTCTTGTGTGTGTACTGTGGGCATTGGGGGGAAAAACAAGATTTTTACCTTTGAAACATGTTATAATTGTTTCAACCAAGTGGTATAAAAAATATTCATAGGCAAAGAGGCATGAAAATGAATTATTCTAAGGTGTTTAGCTCACAAGGTGCGGCATTTACATTGGAGTATTTTTTGACTGTCTAAAACAAGTCATTGTTTCAAATCATCTTTGAAATCTGATGGTTAAAAAAAAAAAAAAAGGTCATCTTTAAAAGTCAACCAGTACCAAGATTAGGACAAAGGAAACTAGAGTAATTTTTCTCATACGAAGTGCTTAAATTCAAATGGTGATTGTGTGATTTGAACTTTTGGTTGTTTGGCATTGGACTACCATATGTTTATTTTATAATTATTTAAAGTTTGCTCCTCATTTTCACCTAAAAAAGGTTTGCTCCTCATTAACTTGTTAACATGTTTTCTGGATAGTTACTGGTACAATTTTGATTCGAACTTTTGGAGTGCGGTCTACAAGCGCACTTATGGCAAAGACTTCAAATTTAAGGCTGGTTATGATTCAGAGGTTCGCCTTGGCTGGGCTTCTCTTTGGGTATGTGCTCCTTTTCCCCTCCACCTTTTAGGTACCGTCACTATCACCAACGTTGCCCTAACTGTTTGATAAAAATATGGCAACTTCTAACTTTGGCTCATTGGTACCAGAGCTGGCTCCGGAGCTGATGGCTCCATGTTTGGGTCTCAGCCAGGGCCAAATTGACTGAAAGACATGAGAAACTGATCTGTATAATTGAGTCATAAAAAATGTGAGCTTTCAGCTTAGTATCACTTAGGGCCTATTTGGGTGACCCTCAAAACAATGGTTTGGGAGGCGAGATGTCACCCAAACAGTATCAATTTTATGTCAATAATCTGAAACCATGGTTTGGGCCAAAATCATGGTTTTGGAATCCAAAACCATGGTTTCAAGAGAAGTGAATTCATTCTGCTTTTGGCTCAAATTGGAGAGATGATTGTGTCTGTCAGAGTAAATCTCAACAATAATATAACTTTAACATTTCTCAATTATTTTTTTATAAACATATTTAACATTATATCTTATAAACATATATACACATATTAATTATTTATTAATTACATTATCTTATGTATTATTAATTATGTTGATAAAAATATATTATTAACAATTTTATTCCTTCAAATTAAAATATATCATAAAATTTATCTTTTATATAATTATCATATTAATTTATGTTTTTTTTAGTAATTTATATATATAAAAAGTACTTCTGATAACAACTATCCAAACACACTCACTTCTTAGAATCACTTTTTTATAAAATCTATTCTTCACAGAATCTATTCTTTTCAGAATCTATTCTCTAAAAGCTATTTTCCAAACTATGGTTTGGTTTCATCCAAGCACACAGTTAGAAATAGGATAGGAATTCTGAATGAATATTCTAGGGCACCCTAAACGGTGCTCAGACCTTTCGCGTGTGCGCGTATATGTTAAGAGATACTTTACGCAACAGTAATTACAAAGATATAACAGAATTTACAAATGACAGACGCGTGTAAAGCTGGTGGGGACCAGATTCTACAGCTGTACAGACCCGAGACAATCACATAATATAATGACAATTGTAATTAGTTTCTAACGGTATCTAATGGGACTTCTTAACTCCATTCAGGTTGGGGATGAAGGTGGAAAGGCTAAAACGGCTCCTATGAAGATGAAAGTTCAGTTCATGCTTCAAGTGCCTCAAGATGACATAAAATCTTCAGCTTTAATGTTTCGGGTGAAAAAGAGATGGGACATCTGAGTTCACTGGTAAAATTTCCAGCTTTTTGTACAGGCCTCTCAAATCAGTACGTTTATTGCAGTTGCCCAGTGTCATAAGATGTTAGATACAAAAGAGCAACGTCGATTTACAAAAGAGTGACATTGATTTGTTGATAACTCTACTCCAATCAGCTAATTCATCAGATAAATTTTACTGCGTAAAAGATGCACTTTGTTGTTGGATTATACTCACAGAATGCTTGAGTCAGATTCCTCCCCCACCCAATTCTTCAACTACTTTCTGTCAGTGTGTTTGAATATCCATTCTCAATGGGGTCACTTATTCGAACGTGTCCGTCCCTTTGAGAAGCAAGAACTTTTGTGAAAAATGAAATTACAAATTGTATTTCCTCTGAAAAGATAAGAGCAGCCCTGAAAAAAGAAATCAGCCCGTTCATGGAGCTCTTTTTTCTTTTCCTTCTAGGCCTGTAACCATTTTTTTTAATTACTAATGTCTCGTTTTTGCCACCTAGGCCGAGGTTTAGGGCTTGGCCCAAAATGACTGAGTTTAATTATTTATCTACATATAATATAAATTTACATGGCATAACAGATTAAGATTTGAATTTTTACACGGAGATATGTCTATATTTAGTGTTCAATGGTGTGAATTTTTGCAAGGAGTAATATTGCCTTCTATGGGAGGATATATATCATAAAATATATATGTTGTGACTCTTTTCTTCTCCCCCTCATATTATCTCCCAGCAAAGCTTCAAAGGAGGTACTTGGTATGATCCAACATGCTTATATGTAAAGCATAGCCATTACCATCTAGTCTTTCACATATAAACATGGTGTTGATAATACATTCAGGGATGATTTCTAATGATAACCTACAATGTATATTTAACAGCACACCGTTGTTGACTAAAGGTACTATGATTGCAACGGCCACATGCTAACTATCCTGCATTCTAAATAACTTTTAATAAACAGAACATGTGTGGTTGAGCTGGATCAGACCCACCCGTTATTAAATAAGATGAGGGAACGGGGAAAAAAAACATGATTAGGTGAACAAAGGTCAAAGAGGCTATATTTTATTTTCTTGTCAAAAAGAGGCTATAATTAGTTGTAAACAAGAAGCATATGATTTGCGTAAAAATGAAAACGAGTTGAATGGAAAAAAAAGGCCAAAAGCAAATACACTAAGTTAACAATTCCAAACTCTTTCTAATTCTAAAGACTAGGATTAATATTGATAATATATGCTCTTTCAACAATTTGATGTTTTTTCTACGTAGAACGATTTGATATTTAGGATCTCATGTAAACATATACTACCTCCAGTGCTAAATATAAAATTTAATTTGTAATGTAAATTGCATTATATACTAAATCTTACTTAGGACAAGACTTATCACCTTGTTCTTATTTATAATTTACTTGTATGAAAAAAATTTGTTCTTAAATATAAGCTATTTATAAAGTAATTATTGAACCATTTTCCCATTTTACGCATTGACTTAATAATTGTAGAGAGAAATAAAGTAAAGTAAAATATAAAACATTTTTAATACCCTTTCTTTAATGAGAGCAAATGTGGAAAAAATTATCAATTTAATGTTTTTTTTTATTTGTAGGTTTGAAATACAAATGACTTATAAATAAAAAGAGAGTAGTGTTGGTCATAGTTATTTAGAACTTGTTTGTTTCTGTTTTTTGTTCTCTTGTTCCAAAACAACTTTATAAAATTGTTTTTTAAAACAAGTTTTGAGAATACAAAAAAAAAATTTAGATAGTTATTTTAAAAATCACATTTAAAACAAAAAATATAAAAAAACCACATTGGCAACCGGCAGTCATCCTTGGCACTTGGCAGTGATACGTGGGGGCAGCAGATAAAAAAAATAATGTTTCTCTAATTTTCCAAAACAAAATATAAAAAATAAAAACAAAAACAAAAACAAGAAAACATCTAAAAATTGTTCTGGTTTTTTAGGTCTTAAAAACATATCACTATTTGTTACCAAAAAAACATATTATTAATTTTTTAAAAAACAACCAACTAAAAATAAATTACCAAATACATTTTTTAAAAATAAAAAATTGTTTTTAAATAAAAAACTCAAACAAATATTTTATCATTTAAACTAGGCATAACCAGTTTGAAGGAATTTAAAGCATCATTAATTAGTACATAAATCATATCTTTCAGAACTCTCCTTTTTTTTTGGTAATGCATTTTTATTATACTAAAAATTGATTAAATTTCCACACAAAATGATAATAAACATGGAATTAACAAGTAACCTTTTGAAGATTGAGAGTATACTTTCTACTTTCTAGTGTTGGAAAAAAAGTATACTTTTCAAAATAACATTGTTTTCCCTTCATATGCCCAATAAGGGTGGAAAAAAGTGAATAGAAATATGTGTATAAAAATGACAATTATTTTTCAAATTTTACATGAACATAATAAATAGATTGTAGTTTTCTTGAAAACTTTTAGGGAACTTAATAAAAAAACGTTATGGGTTTGAGAATTGGAAATTCCTATCATTTAAGCAAATATCTCCACTCTTGCATATGGGAGGAGGGCTTTTTTTTAACTTTTTCCCGCCTATGCCATCCCATAACTTTTTAAATATGCTCATAGTTTCCTAAAAAAATACTACTCTCTCTAATTTTAAATATAAGTTATTTTCAACTAACTTACGCAACTTAACAAAAATATTTATAAGCTAATTAAATTATTAATGTCATCATAAAATTAAATTAGTTTCTAACGTTATCCTTACAATGTCATTAATTTATAAAACCTCTTTTTTTGCCAAAAAATTTACAAACTCTCTTACCATCCTTATTTCGCAATTTTCAACACAAATATATATATATATATGAAAAAAAAATATTTAAGGTTTACTAGAGAGTGCTTAATACTACTATATAAGATTGAGAATTGAACTCCTCCAATCTATAATACGAAGTTCAACCATCTTTCTTAGGCTAAAAATACTAGTTAAAATAAATAAATATGAAATTTTTACATAGTATTAAACTAAGGGAGAAAGACAATAAATATTCCAGAAATTACTCAAATGACAAATGAGGATAGATAAATTTTAAAATCTCAAATCAAATTCCTTATATTATTTTAAAATTTTAAATCTTGCAAAATAAGCAAATGTCCTTCATTTTTTAACTTTTTTTTTTTCAAAGAATGTCATCTTAGCATCTATGGTTGGAAGTTAGTTACCAGAGTTTCAGTGTCAGTAACCTCTCTGACAACTAGTCACCAGAGTTCCAACAATATATTGCTAGAGTTTCATTGACTATTCTTATTTACATATTAATTACTCTTATTTAACTATTGACTATATTTGTTTTAAAGTTCTAAAGACTACTCTTATTTAGCCATTCACTATTCTAATTTCGCGATTAATTACTTTTGTTTTCAAAAATTTAGTAATCATTGTTATTTAGCTATTGACTATTCTAATTTTGTTATTGCCTACTTTTATTTTAAAAATTCAAAAAATGTGTTGATGTTGTTAGAGATTTAATAATTACTTTTATTTAGCTATTTACTATTTTTATATAGTCAATAGTTATATAAAAATAGTCATTAACACATTGAAAACAAGAGTGCTACATTCAATCTTAAGTATAGGAGCTAATCTATGATATACTTTACACTACAAATTAACTTTTATATTTAGGATCAAAGGTAATAGTTAATAATAAATATAGAATAATCTTCACTCAAAAAAGAAAAGTCACTATGTGTGCAGGGGTAATAACATAATTTCACAATATTTAAAAATTTCAAAATAATGTAAGGCTTTATTAAAGATTTTAACATTCATTCATCCTAATTTATTATTTAGCATTCTTAAGAGTTTTTTTGTTTTTTGTTTTTACTTATATACTCCCCTGATTAAAGAATTTTTTTAATTTTTTTTATAAGTTATTTTATTAAATTTTAATATAAATATATTATTCTGTCTTTATAATTATTTTTTAAACCTTTTAAGAGGAGAGGAGCATTTAAAAGGGCCAAAAAAAAACTTGAAAGCGACAACATCTGAGAAAAGCGTGCCAGCTCCAGTTCCGATGGTACGGTGCTCAATCATCTTTGCTTCACATTTTTGCCTAGAGAGAGGCAGAGCTTTTCACTGTCCCACCCACCAACCTGTTGGCTAATTTACCCCGGCTTTGGTTTTTTAACTTGTTTTCTTTCTCTTTTAGGAAAAATGGGTGATGGGTAACTTCTCTCTGCTCCGAGTCTTGTTCCTCTCGTAATTGGCCATTGGGTTTCTTGGAGGAACAACTTCAGTGGTGCGGTTTTCATATTTCACCATTGAAGAAGAGACGAAGAAGAAAGATGTATCCCAGGCTGATTCACTCGCACGAAGGGATGGTTGGTCAGGAAGACATGCAGGGTGGGTCCAACCACGGTCACAACAACAACGGAGACCCATGTCTGGTGTTGACCGCCGATCCCAAACCACGTCTGCGTTGGACCCAGGACCTCCATGAACGATTCGTTGATGCTGTTACTCAGCTTGGGGGTGCTAGCAGTAAGTAGTTCTTTCTTTGACTCCTAGTCTTGGCTCTTTCTTTGGTATCTCTCTAACTTGTGTTCTTTGGCCCAAAAATATTGAACTTTTATTTGTATTATATGCCCAATTGCTTTTCCTTGGAACCAAATGAGCAGACTGTGCTGCACCCATTTGATGGGTGAAAGAAATTGAGTTTCTCTGATTAGCTTGCTGAGTAAAAACTATTTGAAGAGCAAAGAAAAGAGAATTTTTCTTTAGTTATGGAGGATAACCCGCCCTTTGCAATAATTGGTCTTTCTTATAGGGAAGCTGATGTGTTTGTGCTCTGCCCTGTTGGGGGACAGCGACAAGTTGATGAAGATGAATTTATGATGAGATTAGCAACTTTTTTATTTAACTTTTTGGATGACAATTTAAATAGAAACCTGTCTTGTTTAAGTAACTTCATAAATCAGTGAATTCTTAAATCGATTACAAAATTTATAATCTTAATATCACTGCGGAGTTTGATGGGGTATAAGATTCTCATGTTTGGTTTGAGAATTTGAAGTCCGTACATAATGGATCCAATTGATATTCTGCAAGTTGGCATAACTGAAGATTTAGGATGTGAGAAGCCCTTTTTTGGGGGGGGGGGGGGGGGGGCTGGGGTGTGGTGTTAAATGCTTGTGAAAATGGAGGCATCTTATGCTTTATTGAATCTGCAATACTTACCAAATACTGGCATCTAAGTCAGAGATACAAGATACCTAGATATCCTAGAGCCTAACGCACAGATGTCTTGACTGGGACATCTTTCTCCTGGCGACCCAAGAACTTAAAACGAGTAAAGGACTGTTTGACTGGGGTATTGTTTGGTTGGGGGTTTTTTATGGGAGGGGACGGAAGGGAAGGGAAAGAGAGAATGATAGTGTGTTTGGTAGGAAGGAGGGGAAGGGAGGGGGAGCAAAATTTTTGTCTTTTTCTGCTCCCCTCCCCTCCTCCTTCTTCTCTCTAATGCTGTGTTTGACTCGACAGAAGAAAGGGAAGGGGAGGGGAGGGGATGGGATGGGATGGGATGGATTTTAATCAAGAGAAGGGGAGGGGAGGAAAGGGGAGGATATCAAGATAAAAAGTCGTGAGTGATAGATTTCAATCAGAGAAAAGACCTTGAAGGTGAAAGAAAATACCGATGGCCTCTTGGAATTAGAAGAAGAGGGGGAAAAAAAATAAGGTTCACAAATGCTCACTAATTTTGGAGACAATTATCTCAATAGCCTCCTGTTAGGTGTTGAAAAGAACTCTCTTATGGAGAAATGTTTATGACTAATTAGGGATTAACAAATCAAAAGGGTATATGAGGAATTAAAATATTTTAGTTAGACTAATTTTGAAATTTAAAATTTTATCTCTCATCTCCCTTCCAAAAAACCTTACTTTTGGAGGAGAGGCTAGAAGGGAAGAGGAGGGGAGAAGAGCCCCTCCCATCTTTAAAAAATATCTTAACCAAATAGGGGAGGGGAGTTGCTCCCCTCCCTTCCTAAAAAATTGCACAAGCCAAACAAGAGTAGGGGAGCAACTTCCCTCCCCTCCCTTTCAAAAAACCCCGTACCAAATATAGTGTGAAAGTGGGGTTTTTTGGATAAACTTGTCCAAGTAAAAATTGTTTTCCTCCCCTCCCCTTTTGAACCAAACAAAGATAACATTAAAATCCCTCCTATTCCCTCCCCTCTATTAAAATCTCTATAAAATCCCTCCTCTCCCCTTGACTCCCTTCCCTTTTATTGAAATTCCTCCCCTCTTTTTCCCTCAGTTGAACCAAACACATCCTAAAAGTTATTCACAAGGGAACATAACAAGTTTAAACTAACCAGAACTGGTGTGCCATTGACTGAATAGCATTTGCTCAATGCTTCTCCATTATAAACATTTCCAGCTTTCCTTTTGCCCTAGGTATTAACAAGTTTTAATAATTTAAATTTCTTGCACTGCTAGGCAATGCTTGGAACCGTTTGATTTAAAGAAGCATTTGGTGTAGTTAATTATCATGTCGATGAATGAGGAAATTGGTGCGTTAAACTCAGAAATGAAGTTGTGCCTTTTAGATCTTAATTTTAATGTTTACTACCTTAATTTAATGATCCTGCTAGTTCGCAACCTTCTGGCTTTGTAGAATTCTGAACGCTAAAAAGCCTTGTTTGGTATATTTTCCCTTGGTTTTGAGGGTTATTTTTTTGTGTACATCCACGAACTTAGATGGTGGTTAGATGGTTTAACCTTTTTTTAATTTCCATTTTTTATGGTAACTTGAACTTCTTAGCAAAGGTTGAAGAAGTTAGCTGATCATGTGTATAATC